ACAGACGGCGGGGCGCTACGAAATTCTTGTAAAAACAACCGTCCATTGAGTAATAAAAAAAAACAACGAAAATTAATCGGTTGGGTAGGATGCTTAACGCCCATTTGTTAACCTTGTTATATAATCTCTCCGAAACTAGCGAGATTAGCTTACATAATCTGCGAGAAATAATACGGATGCTGTAAGTAGTGAAGTTAATCTCCTTAGTATCGTTGGAACTACATCGCGTCGCCACAAGGAAGGCGACTTTCTCGCGCGTTCTACTGTTAAGTCCCAGGTAGCTCATGACCTTTTTGCTTTGCAAAAGGGAAACATATAAAACTGCTTCGCAAGCATTCTCGTCTATTTATTCGTCAATTTGATTTTGTTAGATTTATTATTACTTTCACTTTATCAGTTCACATTGCATGTATCTTTTTTCCCTTTCAAAATTGTCCCCAGCTAATGAGAGCTACACAAACGGTTGCAAACATCGTTTAATTGCTTGCTTAAATGGAGTACGCATGCTTGCTCCGCCATCTTGCATCATAGTCTCCAATCTCGAACACTCAAGGGCTGTATTGTGAGGCCTTGGTGTTCCCGTGGGAGGGTTGGGATTTGCTGTCAAGTGACTGTGAGGCAAATCAAAAATTTCAGCCATATGACAAGCCATGGAATATTTTGACATGGCTTCAGTGCTGCTCCAGTGCCAAATCCCAGTCATTGTATGATCAGTGATGTGCTTTTCTGCAATAAATTTGCAAACAGCAGCAACATCGTCCACCAGGGTTGGATAACGGATTTGATAATCATCAATTATGGCAGGTTTCTCCTCCTGCTTGACAGCATCAAATAAAACTGCAATGGTGATAAACAAATACTCTTATGCCCTCCAGATAATGCAAACAATTCACAAAATTGAATTATTTAGAATAATTCATAAGTACATGTATTATAATTGGGAAAGAAAGACTCCTTGGGAAATCGCTACTTTTGCCACAGCACAACACAGGGATGGCAAGCAATTCAAGACAAGACTTTTTTTTGAAAAAAAAACAAAACAAAACAAAAAAAAAAAGGAGTTCTGTAGTATCAAAAATAAGTCTATATAGAAAAAAAAATTAAAAATGCTCTTGTACTCTGTCATAATGCTAGTACCTTGAAACTACAATATAAAAGTTCTGACCACCCACTGTGCAAAGATGTAAGGTAGTGTTGAAGAAGGATGTCAACTTACTGCATGTGCACTGTGGTGAAGGAAAATCTGAGTAAATACACTGTGAGGCTAATACCCTCACCACATCTTAGTATCACATAGCACCTTTAATAATCCATCAAATATTTTTGCTCACACACAATTGGTCTAAATGCATCATGTGACCAAATATCCCTAGCTAACACTGGGGAATATCCAAGAAAATCACCCAAGTGATATTCCCCAATTTATTTTCAAACTGTGCAGCAAACAGCAACCTGTAAGTAACCATTTTCTTGTGCAGGTTGTAAAATATTTGAAGAATAATAAACACAATAGCCTCTATTTGGTGCAAAAATATGCCTGCATATTTGTTCTTGGACATTATCTGTTCCCTGAAGATGACAGTTTTCCTTTGAGCTTTGCTCTAGGAAAACTGTTCACATCTCCAAACACACAATGTCCACAGACAAATATCCATTCATGGTATTGACCCAAATAGGGGATATTTTTTATTTATTCAAAGTAAACTGAGTTTAAATACTTCATTAAAGTCTTAAGTGTCCACTATCAATTATGGTCATGATTACACTCTAAAATTTTCTTAATTATACCAATCTTTATCTATGAGTAAATTTTTCTGGTCCACAGCACCCTTTAAGAACCTTACATGCCTGAAAGCCTCTTCATGAGCCTGCTGAGATTCTCAGACTCTAAAATCTCAACCATTTGTCACACCTTTTCCTTTGAAATAATTTCCATGTGTTCGTTTGAGTAAGAGCATAAACCTGGTTACAGCATCTTACTTTTGGTAGATAAGCTCCCAACAGCCAGATAAGAAATTTGCACAAAATTAAGACTTCAGCTTGGTGATCAGGAGAAAACTTGGCCGTTCAAAGTTTGTACTTGGTGGATGTAGGTGTTATGGGGTGCATGAGCTTGTTACATTGTTAGAGTGCAATGTATCACAGATATTGGGAGAGCACATCTTTCCACAATGACATAATAGTGCTTATGTTGTTAATCAAGGGCTGTACGTAATACACAAAGTTAAAGTGGCCCCTTGAAAAATCATAAAACAAGAGCCTCAAAGAACCAAACCCAAGATATAATAGGTACAATGTAAGTAACTGAACTTAACTCTGTCATTTCACAACAGTCCAACTGAATCTATTAACCCTTTGCACAGAACACACAATTTTTTTTTTTATCCCACTATCTGAGCCAGCCTGGATACCTGAACCATACTGGGAGATCAACTCCCATATGTTTTCATACGAGTTCCATAGAACTTTCATGGGTAGTGAGAGAGGGGTTGCTGTTCCACAGCCTGTCCCTGGGTGGCAATGATGCCGAAACTAAANTTAAGTGTCCACTATCAATTATGGTCATGATTACACTCTAAAATTTTCTTAATTATACCAATCTTTATCTATGAGTAAATTTTTCTGGTCCACAGCACTCTTTAAGAACCTTACATGCTTGAAAGCCTCTTCATGAGCCTGCTGAGATTCTCAGACTCTCAAATCTCAACCATTTGTCACACCTTTTCCTCTGAAATAATTTCCATGTGTTCGTTTGAGTAAGAGCATAAACCTGGTTATAGCATCTTACTTTTAGTAGATAAGCTCCCAACAGCCAGATAAGAAATTTGCACAGAATTAAGACTTCAGCTTGGTGATCAGGAAAAAACTTGGCTGTTCAAAGTTTGTACTTGGTGGATATAGGTGTTATGGGGTGCATGAGCTTGTTACATTATAAGAGTGCAATGTATCCCAGATATTGGGAGAGCACATCTTTCCACAATGACATAATAGTGCTTATGTCGTTAATCAAGGGCTGTACGTAATACACAAAGTTAAGGTGGCCCCTTAAAAAATCATAAAACAAGAGCCTCAAAGAACCAAACCCAAGATATAATAGGTACAATGTAAGTAACTGAACTTAACTCTGTCATTTCACAACAGTCCAACTGAATCTATTAACCCTTTGCACAGAACACACAATTTTTTTTTTTATCCCACTATCTGAGCCAGCCTGGATACCTGAACCATACTGGGAGATCAACTCCCATATGTTTTCATACGAGTTCCATAGAACTTTCATGGGTAGTGAGAGAGGGGTTGCTGTTCCACAGCCTGTCCCTGGGTGGCAATGATGCCGAAACTAAACAATACCCCTCCACATTGTGGCTGAGCTTAGAAGAACACGATTAAGAATTATAGACACTCTTCCTATTCTTCCCAAAACAATTATGCAATACAATCATAATGTGACTACACTGTCCACGCACCCGTTACTGCGCTTTCCTTTAGATATTCCACATCCCCGTACAAAATGGGAACCCGAAGAATCCCTCCATCACGATAATGCATAACCTGTTCTCCCTCCAGTTTGCTTTTACCATACTTGTTCAATGGGTTAGCTTGGTCCTGCGGTTTGTACGGAGGATTGGTTCCATCAAACACATAATCAGTACTTATATAAAGCATGAAGTGATCTGGAGTCTCCCTGTCACTGTTCAGCTCGTTGATGGCTTCTACCAATGCCTTGGTTACAGCGACATTCATTTTCGTGCATGTTTCCTCGTCATTCTCCACAACATCTGGTCTTCTCTCGGCCGCAGCGTGTATCAGAACATGAGGTTTGAACTCACTTACGACTCGTTTGCTTTCGTCAAAATCAAGAAGATCAACCTTTTTCAGAGCTCCCGCAGCTCGAGAATGAGCTAGTCCCAACACTTCCCATTTTTCAGATTTCAGGAATTGCTTCATGATTGCCCTACCAAGGAGACCAGAAGCACCAGTGATAATCACGCGCTGTTTAGCCGCCATTTTGAAATGAAAGTGGTTACCAGGTAACCCGTCCAAACATATGCACCAAATGCAAATATGGCGAAATATGGCGACACATGTAATAGTAGTGAAGTTAATCTCCTTAGTATCGTTGGAACTACATCGCGTCGCCACAAGGAAGGCGACTTTCTCGCGCGTTCGACTGTTAAGTCCCAGGTAGCTCATGACCTTTTCGCTTTGCATAAGGGAAACATATAAAACTGCGTCGCAAGCATTCTCGTCTATTTATTCCTCAATTTGATTTCGTAAGATTTATTATTACTTTCACTTTATCAGTTCACATTGCATGTATCCTTTTTCCCTTTCAAAATTGTCCCCAGCTAATGAGAGCTACACAAACGGTTGCAAACATCGTTTAATTGCTTGCTTAAATGGAGTACGCATGCTTGCTCCGCCATCTTGCATCATAGTCTCCAATCTCGAACACTCAAGGGCTGTATTGTGAGGCCTAGGTGTTCCCGTGGGAGGGTTGGGATTTGCTGTCAAGTGACTGTGAGGCAAATCAAAAATTTCAGCCATATGACAAGCCATGGAATATTTTGACATGGCTTCAGTGCTGCTCCAGTGCCAAATCCCAGTCATTGTATGATCAGTGATGTGCTTTTCTGCAATAAATTTGCAAACAGCAGCAACATCGTCCACCAGGGTTGGATAACGGATTTGATAATCATCAATTATGGCAGGTTTCTCCTCCTGCTTGACAGCATCAAATAAAACTGCAATGGTGATAAACAAATACTCTTATGCCCTCCAGATAATGCAAACAATTCACAAAATTGAATTATTTAGAATAATTCATAAGTACATGTATTATATATTGGGAAAGAAAGACTTCTTGGGAAATCACTACTTTTGCCAAAGCACAACACAAGGANGATTCGTAATGAACCCGTGAAAGTGATAAATGAGATAGAATAAATATATGAAAATCATATATTTTGAACTGCGGTATTTGATACGTATGATGCACGATCCTCGCAGTAGATAGCGCTATTTAAGCAATAGCGAAAATCAGACCTGAAAAAAATCAGGCCTGTACGGGACTCGAACCACTGACCTCTGCGATACTAGTGCAGCGCTCTTACCAATTGAGCTAACAAGCCAACTGAGAGCAGGCCGTTAAGTTGATTCGTAATGAACCCGTGAAAGTGATAAATGAGATAGAATAAATATATGAAAATCATATATTTTGAACTGCGGTATTTGATACGTATGATGCACGATCCTCGCAGTAGATAGCGCTATTTAAGCAATAGCGAAAATCAGACCTGAAAAAAATCAGGCCTGTACGGGACTCGAACCACTGACCTCTGCGATACTAGTGCAGCGCTCTTACCAATTGAGCTAACAAGCCAACTGAGAGCAGGCCGTTAAGTTGATTCGTAATGAACCCGTGAAAGTGATAAATGAGATAGAATAAATATATGAAAATCATATTTAAAAAAATATGATTTTCATATATATGAAATATGAAAATCATACCGCAGAAATATGAAAATATGAAAATCATACCGCAGTTCACAATATATGATTTTCATATATTTATTCTATCTCAATGGATACTATGTTGCTTACGAGCCGACCTGGCAACCATCACGGACATGTCTTTGTACTTACAGTCGAAACGACTCAGTAAGTTAATCCTGTACTTTAAAACGCTGCTATCTGAAATGGATATTCCATTGTAAATCGGGGAAACAGGAAACAACAGAGTCAGTTTTTGTCTATATCAAAGGAATTGTGATTCTACGGTAACACGAAGGTGGGTGTAAGACGTAGTCATCGTTTGGACTACGTACTTCGCTGCGAACCCAAAGAGCAAACATAAGTGAAGTGAAAGTGAGCTGTATAAGATTACTTTGTATAAGACTGCCGGAGTTTAGAGCCTCGTCTTGAAAAGTATGACTGAATTTGCTGTTTGGACAAAAATTCACTTACTGTGAACAGTTTTTCCCCTTCCTAGTTCCGCGCGTAACGCATGTCACGTGCAACATCCACTGGATCAAGTTTCACTCCTGTTGCTTGCCCGACTTTAAATTTCGCGTCTAAGTACTGTCGCTGGGAATCACTAAACCTCCTTGCCTTTCTAGTGGATCTTAAGGCCCACCCTTGTGGAAGAACCTCAGTTGTTACCAGGCATTGACTTGACTCGGCCTTCACGGATGGCAGGTTGTTCGCCTCACAGAGTAGTTTGTCATGGTCTAATACTTTGGCCTAGTCCATAAGACTTTCTCTGACCGGTAGAAACTCGCATTGTCCATGCAATAAGTGATTTTCCAAAGCATAGTGACGCTGATACATCTTAACACAACCCTCGGGAGGACAAGAAAACATAGCGCCTAAGGTCTTGGTCCTCTTCCTTCTCATCTGGATGTTGTTCACCAGTTTCTTGTTAACTGGGTTTTGGCTTATCGACCGCCTGAGATACTTCTGAGAAGTCCCCTGAGGAAAACTGGCACTCAAAGCTGGGCGGCTGTGAATAATCTGGAACTAAAAAGCCAAATGAAAATGTAATAAAATGACACAAGTTTCGGCTCCGCAAATGGATAGTGTTTTTTTTTTTTTGGTTGTCGTCTTTGTTGTTTTGGAAGGATAAGTAATGGTTGGTAAACTAGACTGTAGAACATGATTACGACTTCAACAAGAGAAAAAGAGTTTCTTATCCCAGTGTGCTTTCTCGTCCACTATTTTTCTTTTCTTTTAAAAAAATTTCATTCCGTGGACACTGCATGACGGCAGCATAGGACCGTGTACTTAACATTTAAGGTTAAATAGGTGGAATGAATTAAAACTTTCCCCATTTGTTTTGCATACCTGGTACCTTCCTTACCTCGCTAACATTGTACGCTTTCCAAAACAGTGATGGTTTTCTCAGAATACAAAAAGTTGTTCAAAGAGTTAATGCCAGACCATTTCACTGAAAGTTGAGCATCCCTTTGGGTACTATAGGCATCAACAATAACCGCTCTAACATGTGGTATTCCACCATTTCGAAAACATGGCATTCAAGAAGTCATTAGCGTTCAACACATCATGACCTTCGTTGATGTATCTCCTTACGTAGGCTCTGACAGTAGCCGTCTTTCCGTCGTAAGGACCCTTCCCTCCCTGTGGATCACTGAAGTCAACCTTCGTACTACGATACCAGTTTTAGATTCCATTTGAGCACAGCTTGCCAGCATTTCAGCAGAATGGTAGCAAACGGCGTTGCCTTGCCGGAGAAAAGCATTTGTCAGCTCGGGATGCTCTAGTTTCAGGGTGCGTAAGGTGTGTTCAATTATTCGCACAACAGAGTAGCTGTCCTGCTTGCAGTTCTCCAAAACATGCACAAATGCCTGGTGTTGGAAACATTGCTTGATCTTGCGCGTAACCACATTTATGTGCCACGAAATTCCCCGCTTAGCAAACCAATCAGAATGCGACTCTCGGTATTTTTGTGGGAGGAATTTCATGGCCCAATCCTGGGTTACGTGAACAGACTTTTCATCAAGGGTATTCAGTATCGATGTTCTTGCCTCGTCCTGTTTGCAACTTCGTAGCTGATGTGCTTTCCACCCTTTGATGCTGTCTACCGCTTGTAGGCAAGAATACGTCAAATCGTCCAATTCCTCTGGACTCACTTCGCAGTGCACAAAACAATTTTCGAATTTTTCAAGAACGTCCTTCAGGATCTCACACTGCATGCAGTGTTTGTCGTGTGAATGATTGCACGTGCTTCTAAATGGACCCTCCTCACTGTCACTCAAAGCATACGTAGTGCAGTGATCCGCAATAGTTGCAGATTCAGCAACATGAGCCTGGAATCATGACAAAAATGTTTTGAGACAATGTACTATAACTTGATAAGTAATTGATTTGAAAAAGATTGTCATTACAAAGCGTAAAAGCAGAAGCGAGTGCATTAATATCACGCTCTTGTTCGATCTTGTTATAAGCCACTTCAAAAAAAAAATGCTAACTATCGCCAATGCTCTCGTGCTTTCACATGGCAAACCTTTTCCTGAAATCACATACTTTGATTACAGCTGATATACCTTATATTCAGCCTTCAAGCAATGCTTTGCTTCCTTAAAAAATTTTTGATAATGGCTCACCCGGTCTCTTCTAAGACCGAACTCTCCTAAACGGTCCAAAATACGGTGCAAATCATCAAATCCTTTCGCTCCTTCTGCCGCAATGTAATCGAGTCCTTGTAAAGATTTCCTTACCGTTACGCTACAGCAAGACAAAATGCGAAGCATGGTCGATGGACCAAATGGTTTGAAATTTGTTTCGTAGCAGTACTGTATGTATTGCTTAACAATACGCTGTGGTATCATATTACGTATCACATTGGGTGTCTCCAAAACTTTACCAGACGAAAGATGTAAGTATCGCTGGCCAAAAGAAAGGTCTTCAATGATGTGGGGCCTTGTAATGAATGATATGAAATGGTCCAGTTGGTTGGAGTCAACACACATTCTTGGGCTTTTTCGTAGGGGTAGTGGAACACCTCGGCCGTACTCTTTTTTGTGCCTCCTGGCTAAGGCAAATTTGAATTCAGTGACGCTGGGTATGTAGGCCTGTATTTTCTCAAAGGTAGTAAGGTCCGACATAACTGATAATAATTGGCGCCGTGTCGCCCAGCTTGATGCGTTGTTGTACGTTTCAGCCAAGGACTCCAAGTATTTCCGATCTGACTGAGACTCCTCTGCTATCCCCAAGGCGTTCTCCACAGACTTAGACGCCTTTAGCGCCTCCCATAACGGACCAGCATTGCCAGGTACAATCACATTCAGAGCTGCTACTATTGACTCTTTAGCTTTTGATACTCGACTTCTTCTGGTGCGCAAACTTGTGTCTTGCCATTTTTTCTTGTACACGCCAATAGTGCTTCCAACGTTGCAGGCACTTAAAAATTCATTTAACTTTGTTCTCTGTGCTCCTTGTGTACGTTGGTCCTCGGCACTGGAAGTCTCACCACAGCTGCCTGTATCTTCT